CCATTCATTGCTATCATCAGTCATTATTATCATTATTCATTATTATCATTATCATTATTCATTATTATCACCATTCATTGCTATCATCAGTCATTATTATCATTATTCATTATTATCATTATCATTATTCATTATTATCACCATTCATTGCTATCATCAGTCATTATTATCATTATTCCTTACTATCATTAATTATTATTATCATTATTTGTTATCATCGTCATGTTGTTATTATTACTTATTACTTATATCACTTGTCACTTATTATTACTTATTATTACTTATTACTTATTATTATTTATTACTTGTTATTACTTATTGCTTATTATTACTTATTGCTTATTATTACTTATTTGTTATTGCTTATTATTTATTATTACTCATTACTTATTATTAATTATTACTTATTACTTATTATTACTTATTACTTATCATTACTTGTTACTTATTATTACTTAATACTTATTATTACTTAATGCCTATTATTACTTATTACTTTTTATTACTTATTACTTTTTATTACTTATTACTTTTTATTACTTATTACTTATTATTACTTATTGTTGTTGGCATTATTCTTAGTTATTATTTTCATAAGTTAGTGTCCATATTATTATCATGTATATTAAACAGTTTGATGTTATAAATAAGTTCTCTTTAGATTTGAACCAAATTATTAATTTCAAATTTCCTGTTGATTCGATTTTTAATTTTTTCAATTACACTGATTAAAAGTTCATAATTTTTTTCTCATTTATTTTATTTGATTCGTTTATATTAAATACGACATTGATTTAGTTATAAAATATGGACATAGTAATTATATGCCAAAAAGCTCGCACTATTTGTATAAAAACCTAATTGCTTATCTAATGTGCTTGCATAGGACTTAATCACTTGACTGCATCGCCTTCATATGAACTTAATTATTTGCTGAATAAGAACTTGATTACTTATTTAATCAAGTTCTTATTGTATATGCATATGCAGCGTCGGTAATTTTAACATCAATGAATGCAAATATGGATCCATGTGAAGATTTTTATGAATATGCCTGTGGAAATTGGATCAAAGAGCATCCGATACCCGATGATGCACCATCAGTGTCAAATTTTGAAAATTTAGGACAAGGTCTTGAATTAGCTCTAAAAGGTTAGCTTAATCTGTATTTACATTTGTTATTTTACACTTTACTTCATTGGTAATTTTATTGTAATTTTTTTTAAAATAAAACTGTTGACTTAAAATAGGATATTACAGGTCTATTGGAACGAAAGAATGTAGAAGGCCTGGATGGTGAAGCTGTACGAAAAGCTCGAGCGTTTTATCGGCTATGCCTCAATGAAAGTAGATCACTTCTGGTTTAAATTATCGATTGATTTGATGAAATTATGATGGTACTGTCGAAATACATAGCAATAAATGTATTGTAATCATTTGAGCTTCGTTTCAATGCTAACAAGAAAATGTTTGAAAAAATTTTAATTATATTAAAATTTTTCATATTTTCCAGCTGCTATAATGAATACTTGGAGGGAAGCATTTGATGATGCGGTAGAAAAATTTGGTGGATGGCCAAGCCTAGAACAATCAGATGATAAGCCAAGGATTCCAATCGAACAAATGTACGGTGTAATGGTGGCAAAATTCAAATGTGACTCACTTTTTAAAGCAACTGTTCAGCCTGATGATAAAAATTCGAAGCAAAATATTTTACTGGTGAGAAGTTAATGTGTATTATTCATGACAGGGAAATGTAATAGCAATTATAACGACTGATAAGAGAAGATAATTGATTAGCACAGCAATAATTGTATTATTTCCGATTCCTTAGCATTTCACATCTGATAAAAAGCACTAAGGGAATTTTATGCAAGAAAGCGTAATTCTAAAATTTATATGCAATAAAATGTTATAAACATCGAATTTAGAAACTTTTAAAAAAGTTAAATTAATAAAAATTGCAATGTTATCTTTACAGATTGATCAACCAGCATTGAATTTATTTGCACGAGACTTTTATATCTTACCAGAAACGCAAGAAGAACGACTGGCATATAAAACACTAATCAGAGATGTTTTGCTATTGTTGCAAGCTCGAGTTGAAGCATACAATCGTGATTTTGATGAAATTTTACAATTTGAAACCGATCTTGCAAACGTTCGTTTTAATAGAAATTTCAACCAAATAAATTGTGCTGAAAATATTTAATTGCATTAAATTTAAAAAAAGAAAAAATTTTTTGAAAAAGTTTTTGCAAAGTATTAAACTGTTTAATAAATTTTTGAATATTAAATTGAAAAATGAATGAAACAGTATTTTTTAAGAATAAATTAAATTAATTCAGATCACATTATCGGATGATTTAAGACATGATATTTCTGAATTGTACAACAAAATGACAATTGAACAGATGAGAAAAGAATTTCCAAATTTCAATTGGTTGCTATTCTTCAATACAATTTTTCAGTACGTTGTCTTTTTTTCTTCCATCTCATATTTCTGATGATAAATAACTGTGAATTTAGGTGAGAATTAAAACGAAATACGGAATTGAAAAAAAAATTTAAAAAAAAAATTAGTAATATGATATCAAATGATATTTTTGCAATTCGAAATATCGTTATAGAAATATCGGATCATCAAATGACAAAATGATAGTAATTAATGATACGACGGAAATTGTCATTTATGGTTTGCAATTTATTAAAAAACTTGACAAATTGCTACCAAAATACGATAAAAGGTTTGCTTGAATTTAAAATTATACAATCATTCTGAATAAAAATACTGCAAGAAAAAGACAAAAAAAAAACAGAAAAAGAAATAAATTAATTTAATTCGTAATTAAATATGCTATGGTTTAGTGGTATAAATGCTCTGTAAATCGTTAAGTCCATTATGGAAAGTTCAATTCTGCCTCTTCGTCACACAGTATTACTTCCAACCATTCAACATTAATGAGACCAATTTTGAATATTAACAGCAAATGTAACTTCAAATAATTAATTGTAAAAATTTGGAGCACTTTCTTTGGCATTTCTTAATAAGTGCCTTTACCAATAATAGCCAAGCATTTTTTACAACATAGCAAAATCGAAGTAATGAAACTTTCAAGTAAAGTAATTATTCCCTGCAGCAATTTCAATAACAGACAGTTGACGAAATATTAAAAATGCTTCTCTGCGAGCGGCATATACCAAAAAGAATTTCTGTCAAACATTTCATATTCATTTAAAATTTTCATTTCAAGGATAATTACCAATTATTTGGCATGGTGTTGGTTTTTCAAAACAATGCTACGCGATTTACCTGATCCATTTGCGCTAACAATGTTTAAATTTTACAAAAGTCTTAATTGTAAGCTTTTTTTGCCTCAATTTTTCTTTCAAAATTTAAAAAAATAAATTTTTACATGAGCATTTAATTATTGTAGTTTATAATAACAGGAGATAATTAATTATTTCATTTAACTTTTTTCTTTCATTCTAATCATAATTTTGCATAGTTTGATATAAAAATTAAGAAAAAAATTACATTTTATATTATAATTCAAATAAATTTAGAAAAAAAGTAATTGTTGTAATTTTTGTTTGTAAAATTTTGACTTCTTTCTTGTTTTTTTTTTAAATTTTAAATTATGGAAGGATATAAATATATTTTTTGCAGTGATGCAAGTGCCAAAAATGCGCTGGCATAGCTGTGTGACACGTATAAATAACTTAATGCCAATGGCCATATCAAGTATTTATATTAGGAAACACTTTGATAATGAAGCCAAAAAGCAGGCAAGCGAGATAAATGATATATTATGTTATCATTTTTCCTAATTTTTACCACTAAAAAATGTTCCTAAATTAATGTGAAAACTAATTAAAATGACAAATGGTAAAAGAAATGATGATTATCAGAATTGATAAATAATATCTGACTGATAACTATTCATCACAAAGCTAATAAGTGCTACAGGTTGATAGAAATGATAAGTGTCACCAAATTGATAAACAAATTTATCAACGTTTATTATTTGATAAAAGTAATGTATGTTGTATGGCTGATAAATGTCTATTATTATCGGATTCATTATCATTCGAATGACAAATGGAACCGAATTTCCGGAACTTAATATTATTAATACAAGGAAATTTTTGCAATAATAATATGAGCTATAAAAATTAACTGAAAATTGTTGATTTAACATAACAAAAGGTTTGATGCAACATTAAAAATTCAACCATTGTATATTTTGAATTCAAAAATTTTCGGAATTTCATCATTTCTGAAATGGTTATTTTTTTATATTAAAAAGAAAAAAAGAAAGGTTTTTCAGGTAGAAGAAATGATTGATTTAATAATGGCAGCATTTGTGGATATGCTACAAACGGAAGATTGGCTTACTGAGCGTGCAAAAGAATTTGCTAAAGAAAAAGTTTTTTTTTTTTTGAAGCTTTTTATTAATTTTCAATTATTTGCACAGTTAATTAATCAAAAATTAAACACAATTAGAAATGAAAAATTGCACACAGTTGAGATTTTATTAATTAAATTATTTGCAAAATTGAAGAATATTATGCATTTATTTTTCATTACCAAGAATTGGAATATAACATTTTGGTAAGTACAATTTGTAGTGTCCTGAATTTCAAGGCTTTGCAATATAATAATACGACGATAAGTGAACATCTTAATTAAACCGCTGAAGACATTTAAAATTAATGAATGAATACTTTAATTATAATAAATATTGTAAACTTCAAATTATTGTAGTACGATGGATTAATATAATAATGAACCAAAAATTGCTCGTTATTTCAGGTTGATGCGATGAGTAAAAAAATTGGTTATCCGAATTATTTGGATGATTCAAAATTAGTAGATAATGATTATAAAGATTACATCGTTTATGATAACAATTATTACAAGACAAAATTTCAATTTTATCAGATGTACCAAAAGGATGTATTGGAGCGTATCGTCGAGAAAGTTGATCGTGAAAGGTATTCATTTTGATTTCGACGAATCGTTACGGCAAAATTTTCTTATCCATTTCTTAACAGCAATTTTAATTGCCAAAATTTGTGTTATTTACGAAATAAGAATGTCAGTTATATAATTTTTTAATTTTTCAATAATATTGATTATGTAATTTTAAAATTCAAATACTACAAGCTAGAATTAAATTACATAAGATGAAAATTATTGAGTAAATATAAGTTATATTGTTTGACTTTTTTTGGTATTTTTTACGATACAGTTTCAAATGCGTCAAGTGATCTTATTAATCAAGTAATTAAAAATTTTTTACACTTATTTTTTATGAAGCCAAATTTAATGATGAATCTTTGTAATTAGATAAATGCTAGCAAATTATCAGTCACGTAAAATTTTAACTTAAAACAATTTGAATCAAAAAAATTTTTTTTCCAGATGGGTAGCTGGAGCAGCACTTGTAAATGCTTTTTATAGCCCAAATACAAATGAAATAAGTGAGTGCAACATGTGAAATTATATCTATTTATCAGAGTTACAGTGTTTGGATGAAATTTTTAGTAAATGCAAAAAAAGTCATCAAATTTTTCACTCTTTTATTAATTTCTAAATTTCAAATTTTTTCATTGCGATTGCACGGAAAGTTTTTCGGAAATCCCATAAATGATACGATTTTTTGGAAGCAGTACTGTTTTCAGATATATTACTATTTCCGTTATGCTCATTGGCTTGTTTTTATTCGAATTTCATTTTTACAATTTCTTTCCATTGTTTCCATCCTTTAATTTTTAAAAAAAAAAAATCATAACTTTCCTCCAAAGTATTTCTCTTTCAAATGAACCAAACTGAAAAAATTATTTAATTTTTGATAAAAAAAAAAAAACAATTCAGTATTTCCGGCTGGTATCTTACAACCCGTTTTCTACCATAAGAATTTTCCGCGCTCCATGAATTTTGGCGGTATTGGTGTTGTAATTGGTCATGAAATTACACACGGATTTGATGATCGAGGTTTTTTTTTATTCACATTTATGCTATTTAAGTACAAATTAGAAGTGCATTTTAAGATTTTAAAGAAATTAAGTGGATGAAAAATTTTGATTGAGCATCAAAAAAATCAAAAATTTCCATTTGATGCATAAAATTGAAAATCATAACTGTTTTTAATAAAAGTTAAAATTCAATTACTGAATGTTGGAAATCTAAAATTTCGAATATATTTCGTTAATGCCAAAAGTAATTTTATGTTGATCGTTGAAAATGCAACTTAATTCTGCAGCACTGTCAAACATCATGACAACAGCTTTCTCGTTGAATTGAGATGCGTTCCAATTTGTTTGCATGGAAGCAAAAACTTCTCTTGCTTTCTTATTGGGTTCATTTGTTTTGTCAAAGGTGATTTTCTCCTTGGCTTGTTAGCACAACGCATTATTGTACGATCCTTTACAGTAAAAGTACACTTTCTTCTTTTGAGCGCAATTGTTTGTCGTGTGTTCTAATTTGAGGCAGTTCACGCAGGCTTTGATTTCTTTTAGGCGTTTCATTCTTTGTTTGATGGTTTGACACATTCCTTATCTCCCAATGATCCTTGTCGCAAAAGGCGCAGGGCCTTCTTGTTTTGCACTCCTTTGAGCCTTCTGGCTTTGACTTTGAAAAAGTGATTTTCTAATTATGTGTGACTGATCAAATTTTTCTGTCAGTGCTTCCCTTATGATATCGTAATTTTCCGGATTTATATCATATTTACTTATGGTTTCTAATGCATCTTCCTTTAAACATGCTATTAAGTAGTTTAATTTTTGAATTTTTGGAATTTTTTTTTTTGTTGGTGCACTGCGGCATCAAAACTACTTCAGTAAGCCTCGCCATATTTTTGAATTACTGCTAAATGTTGGTTAGTGGTAAGCGTGGTAAGTTTGATACTGTTTGATAGCTTGTTAATCGAGCTGATCTTTCATGCTGAGCTAATCTCTCCATTTCGTCATCCTTTTTTAGACGTTGCAGTATATGCTCTGCGTCATTTTTATACAAATTTAAAATGACTACGGCATCTTTTCCATCACTTATTAAATTTAAGATGTCTGATTCCTCATCGATCATTTCCATATACTTCTCCTCCTCTTCTTTTTTTTTCATTGCTCCCGAGATTTGTTGAATGTGCTGCTGTCTTCATTCTTCGTTGGTCGCTTCGAGAATACACAAATGCGGTTCGAGGCGCTTTATTTTTTCTTCGATAATCCTTTTCCTTGCTTCGTACTGTTGGCAAGTTTCTTGTGGAGTAATCATGGGATCTAAAGGTGAGAGGTCCATATTCTTGACTTCTTCCAATAGTCACTGCTACTTTTGCTTTGCAGACTGAGCAGCTTTGATGATTAGTGTCAACATGGTTTCTTCCGGTAATTTCCTCGTTCGTGGCACCAAAAATAATTTGTTATGGAAGTAGTCAAGTTTTGAGGTTGTAGTAATCAGAGAATTTCTTTCAGACTCTTTATTGGTATAGTTCGTAATAGTTTTGTGTAAAACACGAGATGATTGTGAACTTTATTCTCTCGACAAGATTAATACAGACAAAGAATTTGGGCAGTAACTTATTCTGAGGATGGAGTTGATAGTATGAGTGATGAGTGGTTAAGTAGTTGAATGTGTAAGATGATAAGTGGTAATAATTGAGTAAGTGATCCTTTCTCTATTCTGGGAAAGGCTTATATACGGATCTCTTTGGGCGGTTCCTTATAGACCAAGGATTAAATGTGTATAAATTGGAAATGAGGAAATTATGAAATGTTGGCCTAGCCTAATGGTTTATAAAAAGTAGACAGGATGGACATTGTGATGGATTGTGAAACTATTTGATATAATGCCAAGAAGAGTGTCTATTCACCTGCTCAATCCGACAACTACGATTTCACGACTGCAAAATGTCTCATCTGTTTAAATATTATATTGAAAGATACCAAAGAACAGCATAAAATTACTTTTGCATTAAGAAATATATTCGGAATTTTAGATTTCCAACACTGAGATAAATTTCATGTAAAAAACTCTCAATAAATCTTAAACTAAACCTTAAAATAAATCTTAAAAATAAATCTTAAAAGTTTTGCAGTCAATTAGAATTTTAAAACTAAAATTTCTGTTTGAGAAAAATTTTTTGCGCAATTTACTTGAAACTTGAAATAAAAAAATGATAAAATGAGATAATTTAAGGTTGAAATCCAATATGGTAATTTGATTAATTGCTCCCATATTATTATTATGCCTCTATGTTTTTTATCTAAATTTAGAACGTTTTTTGGAATTAAAAGACAATAAGTATCGTTGTTGACAATTTCTTTTCAATTTTTTTATTTGTTAAAAAAAAAAAAAAACAACTTTCTGTATGAAATATTAATTGCGATATTGTATATTACATAGGACGGTTATACGATAAATACGGCAATATTCGACAGTGGTGGGATAATGCAACAATTGAAAAATTTGAAACAAAAACAAAATGCATCGAGGATCAATATTCGGCTTTTGTACTTGAACAAATTGGCATGAAAGTTAACGGTCGAAGTACAAAAGTTTGTGAATTTTATTGCTATAATACAATTGCATTTATGAATTGAATTTTATTTTGTAATTATTAGAATTAATATTAGACAAAAGACTAATCTCATCATAGTAATATAGCATATTGATTAGCTACTTTCATTACATATGAGTGATCTAATTATTTATTCTTCGCATATACATGAACATACTTTTTTGCATATTTATTGGTTTTCTTCAATATTTGTATGTAAAATTAAGTATCATGTTTATCACTATTTTGCAATGAAATGATCTTTATTAAATCATCTCAATGCAAAATTAATTAAACATAATTGCTTCACAAACTTTCTACAATAGAAAGCATCATGAAATAAAAAAATATTTCTTTGATGCAAATCTTATCAGAAGACATTCTCAAATATTATTTCAGGGTGAAAATATAGCCGATAATGGTGGCTTAAAACAGGCTTACAAAGCTTACAAGGAATACGTACGTAAACATCCGCAATATTCACTCTTACCGGGTGTCAATTTGACGCATGATCAATTATTTTTCCTGAATTATGCACAGGTTAGCTAATATTAGGCATTATCAAAAATTTCTTATTTCCATAAAAGAAAAAAAAAAACATGCGGAATATTTCTCGCTGTTAATAATCAAAAATAATTGCAACAATTAAATATTTTTTATTTTCTTAAAATTTTAATGAAAAAAATCTGAAAAAAAATTGTGTTTCATTTTTTTGTTTAAACAAA